AAAATAAAGTGTCCTATGAGTCATGACGTATGTTGAGTATGTTGATGCGCGTTACAAGCCAGATCTCGAGTTTTCTATTCTCATTGCATACTACGTCCGCGACTCAAGACTTTCACACCTGCTACACCAAGTCGCGATACATTTCAGTGTACAATAAAAGTATTTATTTACCAATAAGCTTACCGAAAGTTATTAAAAAATTTTTAATACCGTAATTGTTTTTTGAAAAGTTTTATTATTTTAATACGAAGACTTTTTAAACATATTTAACGGCAAAAGGTCGATTATTGATCCTATTCACCACTCTAAGTGGAAACAGTCCAATCACCCATCGATTTAGGGAGGGTAAGTAATAAAAGTTATTTTTCTACGTTTTGTTTACGTAATCGTGGATTTTTCCAGAAAAACTCGTGCCTATTCTTATTAAATGTTGTTATATAAATCTATTATTTTTATTCGTCGCAGTTATTTTTTTTTCTAAGCCAATTTTTTTTTTTTTTTTTTTTTTTTCAATAAAATAACAATGATAATAACAATAATAACAATAAAAATATTTATCGTTAAAAAAAAAATGCTGTTTCATTCTGGTGCAACTTTCAGAGTGTTATACATACATGTCATGTAATTGTTGAATATTTGTTATCATCTTTACTTATCAAAGATTCCTTTTCCCCCACTCTTATTTTTCTATCACCGACAATTGTCGGTCTATTGAATAAAATAATTGCAAAAAAAAAAAAAATAATTGTTTGGATTTTTTATTCGGAATTGAAAAAGATGACGTAAATCTTTATTATATTGCTCTATGGGAGTACTTTACGTAACGGTTAAAATACGTTTCACTCGGTAAATATCGCTCGGCATATTTATTATTTTAATTGTCAGTGGTCAGTGGTCATGATCCGACAATTAGATTAAAATATTCAATAAATAATTTATTGTTATGAAATTCTTTAAAAATATTGATTTTTAGATAAGATCTTTGTAATGATAGTTATATCTACTTTCCTGGTAAAACACTGAGGTAATTTTATAACAACACGCGGTAAGAACGTGATTATAAAGGCGCCAAAAATAGTTTGTCTGGAGATAATTATCTGTTACATAAAAATTTTCATTAATTTAAATTGATTGGTATAATTCCTTAATTATCAATCTTAAGTGACTCATTCAAAATATTATACAATCTGCTAATTTACGTGCCAACTTCAATTAATTATTTTTATTATTAGAATAAAATTGTTTTATAAATTAAAAACAACAGAAATAATTGATAAATCTACTTAGTGATTGATGTTGAGTCATCGTCAGGTTTATAAATTTATATAGATATAATTGATATTTGTATGTACTGTTTGTGATAAGATAAAAAACATATTCCCTAAATATGGCCTAGGCCTTATTTTGTCTATAGATTGAGCTCAATCTATAGACAAAAAAATAATCGTATGACTTTACTATTTTTTTTTGTGTTTTAGATGAGGTAACTATTTATTTTCTTAAGGACGTTCATGCATAAGACTCAATAGTAGATATAAATTTACATTATTCAGTTTTGATAAGTTTAATCATATTGTGATCTTTCCCCAAAAATTGAAAATTCGTTATCGATTATTTAAAAAAGTTATTAACGATTAAAAATTAGATTTTTAGCATACAACTTTATGGCAAATCAGCATTTTTTTAATTTAAAATTATAATATTTATATTATTAAAGTAACCATAATAAATAATGTTTCAAAAAATTATCTGATTCATGCAGTTTTGTACGCCTCATAAGTGAAGCGGTTGAGGTTGTGCTCTACACTCGCCTTACAAAAATCAAGCGATTTCTTGAACTAAAATTGTCTCTATTTATTTTCTATCGTACTTGTAGAACAATATTTACATATAAATGTCATGAAAAAACACTAGTTTCAACACTTATGACATTTTTAAAAGACATTTTACTTTTTAAATAAATAAAGAAAATGTTTAAAATAGTTATTTTCGATACATATGCGCAAAGGTATGGATTTTGACGGCTTGAAGTGACTTCACAAGTTTGAGGCTCAGGGCGCATTAGTATCAAGACCGAGGTATTTATCCGGACGAGCGTAGCGAGTCCGGATATAGTACGAGGTCTTGATGATAATGTATCGATAGCTTCAAACGTGTGACGTTACTTCAAGTTTGTCAGAGTCCCTACCTTTGAGCATAAAGTATTCCCCCATGAAAAAAAAATATATAAAAAATATATTTTAAATATATTAAAAATCTATAAAAAATATATAAAAAATATGTATAGTAAATATATTTTTAATAACTAACTTTTGGCCGATTTTCATACATATTTTATATTATTTTAAATATATTTTAGATATATTCAAATTATATTTTTTTTTATATTTTTAGCTATGTATTTTTTAAGTATTTTAAGATATATTTTGAATATATCTTTAGTTATTAAAAATATATTTACTATACATATTTTTTATACATTTATATATTTTTTGTAGATTTTTAATATATTTGAAATATATTTCTTGTGTATTTCGACATATATTTTTTTTATATTTTTTTTTTCATGGGGGTCGAACATAATTTTTTGTCATATCAATTGCGGAAGTTGGATTTGAGAGAGCAGTCAAGAATGTTCAATTACTGTTTATTTTATTTAAAGGCACAATAATTATGTCACACAAGATTAAATAGTAATGAATTAAACGCACACACAGATAAAAAAATTGACTTGACTCAAGAGCCAAACTCTTGGAGAGAGAGAGAGAGAGAGAGAGAGAGAGAGAGAGAGAGAGAGAGAGAGAGAGAGAGAGAGAGAGAGAGAGAGAGAGAGAGAGAGAGAGAGAGAGAGAGAGAGAGAGAGAGAGAGAGAGAGAGAGAGAGAGAGAGAGAGAGAGAGAGAGAGAGAGAGAGAGAGAGAGAGAGAGAGAGAGAGAGAGAGAGAGAGAGAGAGAGAGAGAAAGAGAAGTTACTTTTCGATACTAGTGCGAAGTAAATTAACTAAACTATAGATTGTCAGAAATAGTATTCTTTGCGCCCTCTGGGTGTTGCTTGAAAATCCAACTTTCGCGGTTGATATGTCAAAAAAATTATTCCGCAGACGTCCGACTGTCAAATGTAAGTATGGAAATTGGCGTGGTCACGATAACTGCCGAAAAACTTAACTGATCAAGTACATTTATTTTTTATACGCTTCAGTATGATTTAAAACTACGTCCTTTCGAAGATCACGGTCTAATTCAATGTAGTTGATTTATAATTAGCAATAAACTAAAAATCCACTAATCGTTTGTGTATCTATGTAAATAAGGTTCGTTTACAATACATGCGGAGTACCTTTCCTTTTCTGGGTGGACAATGGCGCGAAACATTTAAAAGTATTATTTTTGTATTTTAATCAATTTTATTACGGAAAATGAGATTATGAGGCGTGCACTTTTGGATTTTCCAATCTTTTTATAAATGCATCAAGAAGATAATGTTGACGAACGTTTAAATTGATTATTTATTATTTTACTTGGTATAGTTAAAATTATTTTAGTTGATTTTTGCTCGTACTGAAAACAAGCATCTGAATACAGTTGATTAAGCAGTTAAAAATGACAGATTTGTCAAATTTAATAAACAATAAAAAAGATTATTGATATAATTTAAAATTTTTCTCAAGACCACAATAAATTTCATAAAAAGTTAGTATTAATTTGATTCTAACGTAGCGCATGAACGTCCTTACAAATTTAAGAGAATTTTTTTTTTTATTTTAATTAATTTTTATTTAGAGTCGGTTTTAACTACTGCGGTCATATCGCTGACTTTGACGGTAGGGAGTGGTACGTTTCGGTTGTAAGAATCCGAACAAAAACAGTTTCACTGTAAAAAAATCGCGCCAAGTCCACGTTCATAAGACTATTAAGAAAAAAAAATTAGTTTTTTTCTTTACAAAAAGATATAAAATAAAAAAAATTAAAAAATCCAAGTAACCAATACGATTGTTTATGATTTTCGGAAATTAAAAAAAATTTTGTTGTAAATTTAAAAATTAAAAAAACAATTTTGAAACGTATTTAGTGTGCGCGGTTGCAAAATATTTTACTTTTAACTAAATTCGAAAAATCTATTTACTAGGACTTTAAAAAAAATTGAAATACACAATATGACGCACACCAAAGGAGTCTGGCGCTCCGTTGACAACGGATTTGAACGGAACTTGGCGCCAGATTCTACCGAATCTGTGGATAAAATTATTCTTACAAGTATTGCGTCATTAAAGGTTGATGTTTTATAAAATAACATTTATTAATATAATTTCTATCAATATTGTCAGTTAATAAATTATCTACATGATAATTTATTTAATAACTATCATTAATAAGTATTACATCAAGACCAATTTTAATGGATGAGAGATTATGTGTATAAAACTCTGTTCATTGTTTTGCGTTTAAAGTGTGTAAAAAAAATTTTTTTTAGTTGGTCGAAATTTTTTGTTTTATTCCATTGACATATACAAAACTAAATAAATAAATAAACATATTTTATTTACACAGTAAAAAATTTTGCGTCAATACGTCAAAAAATTTTGTGTTAAAAATTTTTATGTTAAATATTTAACACTTTTTTGTGTCAGTTTAACACAATAAATGTTAAATTTACACATAAAAGTATTAAATATTTAACACAAAAATTTCTAACACAACATTTTTTGACGCAAAATTTTTTACTGTGTAGTGGGAAATTCAAATTTATTGAGGATTATTTTGATAACATCATAATTTATGTAAATTAATTTGCCAGATTCTACCGAATCTATGGATCTTAACCTACGTGGCAAGAGTTAAATTTCAACCAAGCTGGTTTTTAAGACCAGCTTGGGATTCGAACCCACGCCTGGCCGGTGAGTTAGTTCGAGTGCTCTACAGGCCGTGCGCCTTCGATCACTCGGCTAACGCCGCCGGTTTTAAGAGGATTATGTATTAACCAATATTTTTTTTTGTTAATAGGTTTTCAAAATCCCTCCTATTTCAAAGCGTTCAACGGCCAGCAACATTACATTTGATAAGGGCGGGGAATTTAAAGTAAATATATATTTTTATTAATTTATTATATTTACATTAATCAGTCGTATAAAAAGTATCTAAATTAATAATTACTATACGTTAATTGAAATTTTATAAAAATAAAGGTATCATGTTTTTACTTTTTCCATAAGAACTTCAAAATAACATTAATAACTGAAATCTTGATAAATAATCGATAATTCATTATTTTTTACCAGTACAGCAGTTAATGACTCTCAATGGTGACGATTTAGAACTTTATATTCCCACTATTTTTCTTGGTATCATGGTAACAAGTCATTTTTTTAATAACTACTAGATTTTACTTCTTATTGTTAATTACTATTTATTTAGTTTTTAATAGTCGTTTAAAGTAGATTAAATTTAAAGCAGAGTATATATAAAATTAAGGGAAATATACAACACCCTTTAGAGAGTGAAATTTTGTTCTTTTTGAAGTTCATCCTGTGTAAAAGAAAGATTATAAGAAACGCAGCGATTTCAAAGTTTTTAATGAGAATTTTTATAATTGGCTTTTATTGAAAACTTGAAAAAATTTTATTTGAATGAGAAAAGTTTTTTAAAGCTTATAAGTTATAACCAAATGAATAATTAACAGATTGGATTTTCGCGACAATTTACTACTTAAAGTTTCAAAAATTAATTAATTAAAAATTCTGGGATAATAAAAATGACTAATCTTTCAGATAGAAATCTGCTGTAGCATTCTAGCGATATAAGTTTCTAAAAAATCAGGCCATCTTTGAAAACTCCCGCTATATTAGATCTAAAGACGTTTAAAAAATTTCCTATGGAGTTTTGAATTCAAAAATTTCTTCAACAACTTGACTCGACGTTCCAAACTTCCTATTTGTTTTCCAAATAAAACATTTTACAGACTAAACTAACTATTGATAATAATCATAAATTACCTTGTTTTAATTACCAATATCAATTTATGTACTCTCTAACATTAAAACCCATGATAATTACAGGTACAAGAACAATGCAACAATACGAAAAAGCAGTCCTCTGCTTCTCATGGCGTGAAATCTCAGCCGAAGGTGTTGGTTCCACCACCCCAGGTGGCCGACGATCAGCATGCTCTGACACCGATTATCAGTCCGACGACGGAGAAAGAATTGCTGAAAGATTTAATGTGGGATACGAAAGAACCATCTTCGAGCTCGATGAATTCATCCCCGAATCTGAGGGACGAGGACAACACAACAATATTTTCACCAACTTGGGAGGAAAATTATCAGGATCTAAGTGGATGGTGCTCCAGGATCCCCATGGATCACAGAAGTTACAGTTTTCCTGTAGGTGAATCTCTTAATGGTAGGCATTCAGGTACGTCGAAATCACCTTAATCAAAAAATACATATTAAAAATTTTTTTTTTCATTTTTAATTATTTTTTATGTTTGTTTTAGATATGAAAATCGACGATCAGACTTACTCGACAAACGTGGGGGTTGACGTTCTTAACGTGGGTATGACTTCTGCAACAATCGATCTTGATGATTTTAAGCAGCAAAACAATATTACTAACAATAATAATCTTAACAACAGTAATAATATGAATAATATCATTAAAAATAATAAAAATGTAATGCTACCACCGATTGATGATGATAAACCTATAATGCTGGGGGGGACTATTGATGTACCTGATGAATGGCTGGACTTACCTAAGTCTTCCATAGCCTCACGAACAGATGAATGGATACGGCTAGTTGATAATGACAAAATGGACGAACCGCTTCAGCGACTCGAAATTAATCAATTAAATGACAATGTTAATTTGGATAACAGCTACTCTGCAGAGCCTACAGTCAATTGGGATATTATTTATAATTTCGATAACAATGAAAAAGATTTCGATCTGCTATCCTATTTATGCGATGTAAGATATTATATTTTTATAATTGTTTTCATTTATGGATCCATTTTTTACCGAAAAAGCTTACTTATTAGGGTAATGATAAATAATTTATAATTTTTTATACTTCGGGTAAAAAAAATATTTTAAAGTTTTTTTGAATTAGGTGAAAAGAGCTCTATTGAATTTCTATATTTACGAAGATCTTAAAAAACTTGCAATACAGTGAGAGAAAAAATTTCTTTTGAAAAAAATTATCAATATTATAATGAGAAATTAATTAGTTAAAAATGTTGTTTCTTTGCTGAAGAAATACAAATTTTTCTCACGGTAACTTTTTTGTTAAAAAAAAGTTTTCTAAATTTTGAAAAAAACTTGGAAATTTTTATCCAAAAGTGTTTTTTTCTCAAATCTAGAAAACTTTTTTTCAACAAAGTTGCCGCAAGAAAATCTTTATTTCTTCAGCTAAGAAATAAAATTTTTAACAAATTAATGTCTTCTCATAAGAATGTCGATTATTTTCAAAAAAGTTTTTTTCTCTTTGTGTATATCATAAATTGTATTTCTAAACATTTTTTTTTTTTCTACATTAGATGACAATTTTTCAATAGCAAAGTTATTTTCTACTATAAGAACTTCGGTCAAATTTTCCCGTAGAAAAAAAAATCGTCTTAAAAATGTTTGTTTAAGATCTTAAACATGACACAAACCAAGACTCTTTTAAAACTCTTTTAAAGCGCCAACAAAAAAAAATTCCGAAAGCAAAAAATTTCGCTAGTTTTTAACCACAAAATTTTTGAGTAAGCTCTTTTCATATCGAATTTGAAATTTTTCAAAAATTATTATCCGACAATTTTAAGACTTTTTTAAGACGCTCCGTTTTAATTTTCCGGAGCTCTGTCGCTGTGAGCTCATCTTAAAATAATCTCTAAACATTTTTTTAAGATTGTTTTAAGACTATTTTTTTTACACGGGTCATACACAAAAAAATCTAATGGCCATTTGATAATAGATTTTCATAAAAAGTAGAACCAAAAATCTTAGCGATTATTTTCTTATTTTATTATTTGTATTGAGAGAAAAAATTTGTTTTGAAAAAAATTAACAATCTTATAAAAAGAAATTAATTGCTTAAAATTTTATTTCTTAGCTGAAGAAATAAAAATTCTTCGTACGGTAACTTTTTTGTTGAAAAAATGTTTTCTAGATTTGAAAAAAAAAAACAATTTTGGATGAAAATTTGCAAATTGTCTATCTAAAATTGTTTTCTTCCAAATCTAAAAGATTTTCTTTTAACAATAAAGTTACTGAAAAAAAATTTTTTATTTCTTCAGCTAAGAAATAAAATTGCTTAAATTTCTTAAAAAATTAATTGCTTATCTTAATATTGTTAATTTTATTCAAAAGAAATTTGTTCTCAGTGTAATGAACACACTTAACAAAAAATTTTTTTCAGGACAATTTAAATTCACCAGAAAGTATATCAACAGATTCAATAGACATTTATCAAGCATCAACGAGCTACATTAATAAAAATAAAAATGAAGGATTATCTACAAGAATGCATAACACGCGAAACAGAAAAAGAAATTACAGCCAAGATACAATAACTTCTCCATCAAAGAATACAGATGACTTGGATATTAAGCCGCTGAAGCCATCGTTTGCGTCTGCAATGTCACCATCAACTTCATCATCATCATCCGGAGCTGGATCCACTAAAGCAACGACAAGGGCAATCAAACCCACGAAAACCATAAAAACGCGCATGAAAAAAGAAGTTATCGATAGTTTTGACACACAAAGTAGACGAGGAAGGAAACGACAGTACGACAGTGAATCAGAGGGGGAAAATTCAGATTATAGCTATCGTGAATCGCGAGAAAAAAATAACGAAGCATCGCGTAAATCTCGCATGAATAAAAAAGCTAAAGAGAAAGGCATGATGATGGAAGCTGTCAGTTTAGAAAAAACTAATAGAATACTTAAAAGCAGAGTAGAGCAGCTTGAAAAGATGGTAATAACAATGCGCGCTGCTATACTTAAATCTGCGTTAAGAAGAAAATTTTAAGTCTACATAATTTGTTATTTTATTTTTAATCTTTTAATTAAAAACACCATTCCATAATTATATATTTTTACTTATCTCGTTATCGTTATATTTATTTTATGAATAACGAGAAATATTTAAATGGTGTTACTAGATGCTTTTTTTGCTATGAAGAAACAAAGATTTAATATTTATAAAGAAAAATCTTTGGCACGAATTATAATAATCATTGTATTGCTTAATATATAGAAGAGACATTAATATTTTTTATAATTATATGAAGTATATTGACAGATAAAAATATGTTTTTATTTTTTAAAAATAGATACATAAAATTTTAATATTTTTGTCGTTAAAAAAACTTTAGCAATAATTAAGCAATTAATTAAAACAAAAATATGATTCATTAATTATAAAAAAAAATATTAGTCTGCTTACAAATGTTATTATTATTAATAATTGTTGTTATAATTTTCTGGTTAATGGATATATATTATATATTAATTTTAATGGGAAACTGCATGATTTATTACGTTAAGTTTACAGCATGGTTACATACAAAAAATGTAACTCTGTAATTAATAACATTCAATATGAATAATTGTTATTAATAAATATAAATAATGAAGTTATATTTTTTGTTGGCTTTAGAAATTTTTAAAGCCAACTGCATGAAGAAATTATTTTTATCAACTTGTTGATTAACCAATATGTTGGCAACATATGTTTAAAAGCCACATAATGCAAAAGGAAACATATAGTTACTTATTTTTCACAAGAATATCAATAAATGAATTTATAATACCTGTAATAAATCTACTGGAAAATATTTTTATGAAATGAAGTTGAAAAAATTTATTTTGAAAAAAATTATTCTTTTAACACTTGGCTTTCAATAGTGCCTCAATTTACACTCTACAAGCATTTGTAATGAATAATTTGTGATTATAAATGCAAAATATTTTTCTCTATATCAGCTAGCTTTTATTTTAGCTAAAAAAAAATACATTATACGTGTAATTGAACTTTTAAATTGAAATAAATGCATGATTCGAATATTTAAATAATTATTTCCAAAAAATCCTTCCTAATGAAGTAAAAAACATATATTTTTTTAGTGACATATTTATGGTTGATTTTCTGTTTAAAAATACAGTGTTTTAAGAAATTGTAACGGCAAAAAAATTTAATTAACTTCCCTAGCGGTTTCACCGCTACGGTTATAATATGGTCAATTCACGGTCAAGCATTGGTCAAACATTAGTCTATATGAAGTGATTTGACGGTCTATATCAGGTGTCATTGTGAACGTTTTTGACGATTGATTTACCGACTGTAGATCCGAGAAATACCTTTTTCTGCGGGTGAATTTACGGTGATTTGACCGACATTTCACCATCAATTCACCCGCATATAACTGGCAAACAACTAGCTCATTGCGGTCGTTTCACCGTGTCATCGTAGGAATCCGATGAAAGAAAATAGGTGCATTCACCTAGAATAATCGATATTAAGCTCGTAAAATGTTCGCCTATACGATAATATTAAAAAAAAAAAAAGTGGTATTCATAGTAAAAAAAATTTCAAACTATAGTCAATATCCTTTAAAGTATACTCGGTTAAATAGGAAACTTCACGGAGTACAGTTAAAAACTCATGCACACAGAAAAAAATAATCGGTAGATGCTACCGATTGGCAATCGGTAGCTGCTACCGAAAAAAATCGATAGCAGATAACGATTTTTTCGGTAGAGTCTATATACTGATTATTTCGGTGCAGGCTACAGATTACCACACGGAGAGAATTTTATGTTAATGGTAACCATCCTTATTTTGTACACAGAAAAAAAAAATAGAAAAACGGTTCACCCTAAAGGCCATCCCTGAAACTTCCCGATCATTTTGTACTTGAACGCTTCAAACTACACATTACGTTTTTGAGCTCTTCGAGCTTATTTTTGTGTCGATTTGAGCTCTTCGAGCTCAAAACTCTGATAGCAGTTTAAAGACACAATTTTTTGAATTTTCAAACGGCAATAACTTTTGAATGAATGAACCGATTTTCACGCGGTTGGCGGCAATCGATGCAGTTTCTGAAGCTCCATAAAAAATTTTCAAGTTTA